AACACTCACCAGGGAAAGAACTTGTGCCCCAGGTTGTGATTACAGTTGGTCTTCCAGTAGTCCAACTCTAGCACCAAACTGTAGGGACGCTCGCGTAGAGTGACCACATTCTTGGGAATAGACTGCGTGGCCACAAAGTGACGCCCCACCACCGGCGAGTTGACTATCTTCACGCTAGAGGCCAGCTGGTGAGAAAAGTACGGCTCAGCTGATTTTTGAAGAGGAGCAACACTCATCGAGCCATCGTTCTTCCTCTTGCTCAGCTCTAGTATTTCCCTCTTAAAGTCAGCCAACTTTGCCTTTTGACTCTTGCTCTTCNTTTAAAGGGAAAAAGTACTGCCATTCACTCCAGTGAGTTCCGGGTTAGCTCAGTTGGTAGAGCGTTAGGCTTTTAACTTAAATGTCGCGAGTTCGACCCTTGCACCCGGAGCGTTTCCGGTTCCTTTTTTGGGTTTTTAGAGTCCAGAACGGAAGAGGAAGGTCCCAGGAACATTTTGGTGAAAGCAGAACTCCAAAAACCTTCGAAGAACTCGAGATATGGACGGTTGAAGTTGAAGTTGAATTCTGTTATTTTGTATTGCTTTCAGGCAGTGCAGTGAAGCGTTTATTATGAGGGAACGCCCTGTTTAAGTTAAGAAACAAAAAAAAGAAGTTCTTAGGAATATAAAAACCAATCAAAATTTCAAAAAAATCAAAAAATCATAAAATATCATCATTGAAATTTTTAGTCACTAAAATACCTCCTAGCGGATAGTTTTAGAATCACTTTAACACTAACAACGCCCCTACTTCGGGCCCCGCTAGTTCATTCATGTCCATAATATCCTCAAGGGAAACAAACTTGATCATCCAGCNAAAAGCTCTGGTCGCCAAAAGCCCAACCAATTCGAGGTAGTACCTGTTGGTAACCACAACAAATTAATGATTTTTACTGAATTATTCAAAACTCAAACAAACAAGCAATCGTTTATCAAATCAATTCATCTTTATTTCAGGAAAAAATAGGTAAAGTAAAAGGAGTTTTCAGATAGACCGGACAAGGCATTTCACAGAAAGGAAGGGAAAAGGGTGCACAGTGCTTGGGAATGATGTCTCTCTTGACGACAAAGTCATTCCTCTTCAGCGAATCCGACAGACGCCCCCCTCGCAGGTGCCGCCCTTGACGGTGGTGCTGCCCGACTCNGCAGCCGCCCTCCTCGAGGCGCTGGGCCTTGCCTAGGTTGACCAGCGTGGGGACGCAGTTGACGGCGTAATGGGCGTGCTTGCGGAACTGGTTGTCGGGTGATTTCCAGCTGAAAGAAGGGAGAAGGGAATTTAGAAACAAAGTTCAATAAACTCCAAACCAGAAGCACTTCTTACGTGGGCAGATCGCCGACGGGCACGGTGATAAAGACCAGATC